TGGCTGGGCCTGCCCGCCGTAGGACACTCCCCTTTGCATCCAAACCCGACGTCTTGAGGGAAATGTTGATGGCTGGTGGTGTAAAGGAGGCTTTTACCGGTCTTGTCCGGTGTGGGGAAAGTGGTCTCAGCAGGGCGGTAGGAAGGAGCGCTGGCAACTGTCCTGTTTATCCCTGTTCCCACAGCATTCCATATCGAATTACTGTAAATAATTAAAGGTCAGCCACCTCCTTTTAATAGCTAAAAGAGTAATTACGTATCCTTTAAGGGTGTTCATTTCAAGGTTTTGCACCTTAGTAAGCACCCAGGCACTGCCAAGAAGGTGGCAGCTGTAAGAAACAGCATGAATCTCTCCCCATCTTAACATAGACTTGCAGACTGGTTTGGGTTGGAAGAGATCTTAAAGCTCATCCAATTCCAACCCCGTGCCACAAGCAGGGACACTTTCCACTAGACCAAGTTGCTCCAAGCCCCGTCCAGCCTGGCCTTGAACACTGCCAGGGATGGGGCAGCCACAGCTTCTCTGGGCAACATGAGCCAGGGCCTCAGCACCCTCACAGGGAAGAATTTCTGCCTAAGGTCTCATCTAAATCTCCCCTCTGTCAGCTTAAAGCCACGTCCTTTCAAATATTATTAAAAGTTGTCCATACAGTATGTTGAATTATTTCCTCACTATTCCACAGTATAAGCAGCTGCCAATCTCACCCTGTCTCTTGTGAATCCCATTGCAGTGATGCTAATGGATTGAACTAAGGTCCCAAGCACAGACACAAACCTCAGCACTGATCAAACGTTATAAGCCAGCACGTGCAACAGTAAGTCACAGCCTCTGGAGATGAGTGGCTACATAATGGTTTGTTCCCGGTTTCATTATCAGTTTGAAAATTTACTGTGATCTAACTTTAAATATGACTTCATGGGTAACTGGTTTTGAGAGTCAGTTATCTTTACCATGAATTAAGCATGCATGACCAAGTCCAGAGTCAATAAACTGGCAACAAAACTATTCTGCTAATAGCTGTATGGTTTTGGTTTGGTTTTTGTTTTGTTTTGTTTTTTCCCCTGTATGTAAGCATGTTTAGGATGATTTGTTAATTGTGAATAGCAGAAAGATCACTGGAGTTTTCAGAGCTGCCAGCCACTCATTTAAACAAATGAATTCCCCTTAGAATTAGAAAGTATGTTGGCATCTATGAAGAAAAAGAAAAAAAAAAAGCCATTTTTTTACCAGTAGTCTTTCTGTTAGATTATTTTCAAGGTTTCTCTTTAAAATGGCCACATTATACCCTGCTGTTTTGATGTAGTCTTACATATAGCTCTTACTTTGAGGGGGAAAAAAAAAGAAGAACTGGTATCTATTTTTCTGTTGATGCATTTCCTTTACAAGTCTGGTGGATTCTGAACATTTCCCCGTCTCTTACGCTGCAAGAAGACGTAAATATTTGTGAAATAAGCTGCTGGATGACTGTTCTGCCAAAGCCATGGCTTCTCAAGAATTTACTGTAAGTTATTTTTAATACTGTGTCTGATTAAGTAGAAATAAATTCAGAAGACACTGTAGCTGCTGTATTATCTAAATATTTTTCTTACTTATCATTATGTCAACATTTTACATGTTTCAAACAGGTATTATACACTCACCAAAAAATGAAAAAATCAAAAACGTGGCAAGATGGAATTCTGAAGATTAGAAGTGGCAGTAATAAGGTGAACAACTCAGATTTAATACCCCTGGGTTTAGTATTGTCTGCTACTGTGGGACTGCCAGTGGCAACCCAGTTGATCTGTGAAACAAAATCAGTTATTTAAAATTCTATTTTTCCATTGCAGGCTATCTTGTTTGATGATAAAGGACAATGTTTGGAGAGTATTTTTATAAAATCTCAGGTATACTTTGTTTGGGCGTGGTTTTTTTAATGATTTTTATGCTTGACTATGATTTGTGTTTCAGGAAGCATTTCAAATTCTTATTCGTTAACTGAGGTAGTACTTATAGCGGATATGAAAGTCTGCCACAATGCAAGTAATGCAAAGCAAAACCAGCTTCTAATTACTGATAAGTCATACTGGTTTTCCGAAACCAGAATAGAGGTTTTGTGGAATTTTATTCCTTTTGGGTAGGAGCAGTGTATTATACTGATATATTAAATAAGCATAACTTGAAGCTAAGTGAGATATATATATAAAAATCTACATACTTATAAGGCAGCTGTGCTATATTAGGTGTATATTTCTGAAATATTTACATGTAAGTATTTAGAAGTCTATAATTACTTGTAAGATTGTTATTGTTTGTTACATAGCACTCAGGTACATACTGCTGCTTTCTCTCCCCTAGGTGAATGCTGGAGACAATTTAGAAAGTGACCGCTATTTGATCACAGTTGAAGCAGTAAAAGTGAATGAAAAATCTTTTGAAGATCAGTCAAGGGAAGCAGAAACTCCAGCAGTGGACAGGAATGGTGTAAAACGGGGTGTCCCACCTCCAAGGCATCTGTCTGTTGGCTTGAAAAGGAAGTTTACGGTACGTCTTAGTTTCAAAAGCTATGTCTGATATGAACATGTATTTTAAAACACAAAGGGCACATCTTTTAATGCATGATAAATACATAAATGATGACTTCCTGTTTGGCTTTTGAGTTGTAAGCCAGAATGTGGTATCAGTAGCTATTTTTTCCAGAGTTCACTAAATCTGGTTTAGCAGGATTGCTATTGCTAAGGCTACAATGAATATCACAAGGGCTTGAGATTACTTCTATACACCTGTGGAATTGTCATGTGTTACTTGAGCAGAACACATTTTATGGAGCATACCCTACTTTCAACATTTGATTGCAAAATGTGAAGTTGATTTCTAAGGAGAATTAATTTAACATTTCTCCCCTAGAGTTTCCAAGGGCCACGCCAAGTTGAAAAGAAAACATCAACAATGGAAGAGGGAGAAAAAACAACATTGCCTTTATCCAAGCAGTGTGAGGGGGCTTTTCCATCCAAGTTTTATGGTACCTCTCCATTATTTTCTACAATTTGCCAGAAGGATGCGGAAACAAGCGTGTCTGCAGACTTTCATGAAGATGCACGTGCAGAGAATAACAGCAAACACATGTCTCTCTCCTCACTGCTTTCAGCTCCATTTCTTGACAGATGTGAGGAGACAGAGAAGCAAAACCCTGATCAATCCATTATGAGGCCAGAATCTCCTCTAATTACTGGGCATACCAAATCTAGTAGTCAGAGTGCTGCTCATGTGGCAGTGTCACACAGCATCAGGAGCACAGCACAGATACTGGCTCTTTTGAAGTCTAAACCAGCCCAAGGATGCAGAGAGCAAACAACACCTCAAGGCACGCAATGTCCTTCTAGGTTTCAGGCATCAGAAAACACAGATAGTTTATATAAAAGAAAAACCACAATCCTATCTGCTTTTTCAGGCAAGCCTGCCAAAAGACTCATGGAAAATATTCAGAATCTGCCTTGTAAGAAGGGAACTGCAAATGATAACAAGGAAGGTAATCCTGAAATGCTTCTAAATTCGGCTGGACTACCTTGTGATAAAGAAGTCACAGGACAGAGACTTGACAAAAAGACAATTAATTCAAGTCAAGATTTACAAGATCCGTGCAGTACCAATAGTTGCTTCCTGCCTGAATCCACTGTAAGTAGAGTGAGTGACAGTCAGTTTGTCCCATCCTCAGGTGACATTTTGTGTTCAGCAAGTCCAATCACCTTGGAGAAAAATCTCTCCAGATACAGAGAGCATTCAGCAAGTAACAATCTTGAGGAGAATTCATCTCTGAAGTTGCAAAGTGCGTTACAGCCAAAACAAGGTTCAGAAAGAAGCTTGGAGGTCTCTGCAGACCTAATATTGACTGGAATTGGAACTGTAAAGCAGGAATTAAGTATGCACGGCAAAGGCTGTAGTCCAGATGAACGGGTGATGGAAGTTAACTTTAATCTACTGGAAGCTTTTGATTTTAATGACACAGACAATGAAGACCTGTGTGAAAGAGCTGAGAATAAGTTCACTGAAGGAGACAAGCTTTCACGAAGTCCTGACTGCTTAAGGGGAGAAGACGTAGCACTAAATACTGCACTGAGACTTCATTCTTGCTGTGAAGTAGTGACACACAGTAAAAATGAAGAACTCAAATGTTCAGCATTTAACAGACAGAATGATGGAAATCACTACACTGGGGGTATAACATCTCAGCTTTGTGACAGCAGTGTCACAGACACAGGGAAAATTGCAGAAGACTCTTCAAACCAAACCGGAATTGCAGTGGAACTTTTGGGTGATAGACATGACATAAAAGAGATTAAGGAAAGCGAATTACGTATTGAAGCCACAACTGAAAAGAAGGATCCTGATGGCTGTGCAGTGCACACCATTAATGGCACGTCACAGATGAAAACCAAGCAGTCCGATCTTTCGCCTGGTGACACAAATGTTAATGAATGTCACGCTAAAACCAGTATGTTTGAAAAATCTGAAACTATTTCATGTATTTCTACCAGCAGAATAATTTCTGCAATGGACAAAAAGACCAAAGAAGATGTTATACAGCTCGGAGGTATGAAATGCCCAGATGTTGATTTAGAAAGCTTCTGGGGTACTGAGAGCATTAAAGCAGACAGTCCTTTGCTGGCTTTGCCACAAAAACCAAATCCTAGCTGTGCCTCATTCCAATACATTGCAGAAAACCCTCAAAAGGTATTTGTCATTCCACATAAGGAAGATAGTCTCATTACCAGAAGTTCTACCTATCCTTTAGGAAAAAACCATTCATCTCCAGAGGAAACAGCAATAGCTGAAACTGAGTTTGAAAATGTAGAGAGCATAAATGCCTTTCGTGAAGCTTGCAAAGGTGAAAGGTTAGAAATGGATTGCAGGAAATGCCCAGCGACAGCTGACAATTCATCAGTTCTTGATTTGGTGAACAACATCACTCTTCTAGGAGCTTTGACTCAACACAGCACAGCATTAGAAAGCTTACAAAAGATGGAGGAAAGTAATAGCATGTTACATGAAGCAGAGACTTCTGAAGAGATATTTGAACCCCTTGTGAAAGATGAAGGTCAGCTTCTATTTTAAAGTGAATTCTGTGTGACTGTAACTGATTTCTGTACTATTGTCTTTCCTGCTGGACTATCACAGTCAGAAATTATATTTTTGGAGTGATATAAATGTTCCCTCATGCAATCTGTGGGCTCCAAAGAAGTGTTTTTGCTTTAGTTTGGTTACATCCTATCCATGTAATTATTTGCATGGGTAAGGTTTGCAAGCCCAGTAAATATGCAGATGTTTTCATGTAAAAAGAATACTATAACTGTAACTTACTATGCTTTTCCATCTCTTGTAGCTACAAAACAACTTACAGAAATGCCTTACTCAGAAAGTATAAAGGCATCTTCATACTTTGATTCTTCTGGCCTTATGGTAACCAATTTTTGACTACGTATATCTATCTGCACAAGATAATTTAATTTTCCACCAGGCTTGTAGAATAAAATTCTCAGTATATGAAACTGTAGAAGTTGAGCTAGAAATTGCTTGGAAACATCAAGTAAGAAACTGATTGTGGCCACCAGATCTCCTCCTGCAGACCCTATTGCCAATAAATATTCAGGAGGCCTAATGTGTGACAAGAAACAATGCAAATTGTAATATTTACTTATGTTTAATATCACATTAGTTGCCTGGTACTTCTTCCCTACCCCATTTGCTTTTAGCATCTATTTTTAATTTTCTTTCATTATCTTTTTGAATGCATGGCCTTCCTAGAATTTTAGCTCTTGGATTGAAATACACTGGTACATCTCTTTGTGCTTCATGCTTCATAATGATTTTTGTCTAAAGCTCTCAATAGTCTTCTTCTTTCAACCCATCCAAAGTGAAAGAAAGATTTCAGATTAAATTCTTTTCTTTTTCTTGTCCCATTTGAAAAGCAAACATTTCTTACCCTATTATGGATTGTTCTGGCTTCCACATTAAAAGGCTGTAATTTAAAATGCTCTCTTGTATAAATATAAGAGATTTCTTAGCTTTTCACTTTAAATTGTTATTAAATTGCTAGACTTACAAGCTTTTGATACTTTTTATGCAGCCCAACCATGTGCTCAATTTATTACAGAAAACAGAGGCATCTATTCTACCAACAGCTTTCTACCAAAGAGACCCTGAGACACCTGACTGCCAGCCAAAGGTATGATTTGACTGGAACTGAAGTATCACGAATAGTGCTTCTTAAATTTCAATTCAGCGGTTTACTATTTGCAATATATTACAACTAGTCCTTATAAAAATGTATTCAGTCTCATAACGGGCTTCTCATTGTTTTTTAGTACATTTGTCTGTGGGAAGTTTTCCATTGAGAGTCTTAAACTTGTATTTTACAATACAAAGAGAAGACTAAACACACTAAATCAGAATATCAATTTTCTGTTGACAAAAACTTTATTGCTGCTGAGTTGCAGGAGTGCAAAAGAAAGACATGGATTTTTTTTTCTCTTATTTTCCAACACGTTATTTTTGTTGTATGCCTGACAAGTACCTTTACTGACTATACATAGTTCCAGAACTTATTTCCAGTTAATGATAACTCCAATATATCACATAGGCTGTTGTGTTTCAAGGGCACCAAGTAAGGGGATCAGCAGCTAGTGAGATAATGTCAAGAGCTCCCCGCTCACAGCTGGGAGGGCAGCACTACCCAGATAATACGAAGTTTGCAGCTGAAAGATTTTTGACACCCCTGTTTTCAAGCAATGATGTCCTTTCTGACTGCAGACAGGTAAAACAATATTTTTCCAAACTTACTCTTTTCAACCTTAGAGCAAGAAAGTCTCCTGTAAATGCAGGATAAAAGACAGTTCATTTTTACAATATTACAATTATATCAAAATCACCAAGAACTGAACACAGTGCTTTGTGGTTAAAACCTTGCAGTTTTAGACAATTATTTGTACTTCATTTTACTTACCTTTGTCATAGGACTATGCATTTGTACAATGTAATGTGGGGTTTTTTTTTTTCCTCTGATGAGTTTCACTTTGAAAAACATAGATAAGTCATAACGTGTGATATTAAACAAAGAAGTTTCTTCTAGAGAGAAGTGGCAGAGGGCTTTTATAATGATTGTTTCCTCGTGTTTGCAGTAATATATTCACCTCAGCTAGATTTGAAATTTGGTATTGAATTATTAAGAGAGTTCCAAAGCAAGGGTTAAAGCTTTCTTTACTGGGTAACGATTCTGTTCCTCCTGGATGCAAAGAAACATGGCATAAAAAAAAAGTATGTTTTTCTACTGCAGTATATATTTCAGTATTTAAAATAATTTAAGAAAATTGATATTTTTTATTTCCAGAATGGGCTAGAGATACTGAAGAATTCTGTCTAGAAATAACATTTAGAAATAAGCTTCATAGAAAAATAATATTTATATAAAGAAGATAAAGAGTTTAATTTCTAACAAGTTTTTGCTTATACTTTTTGGTAAAGTCTCCAGGTTCAGGAAGTTTCCATGGGAATAATACCAACTTTATTGGAGAAAAGAACTTTCAGAAGAAGCCTAACATGACTGAAGAGTCAAGAACAGATCAGTCCTGTAAGTGAAACTAAAAGCAGAATGGCAGCAATTGAACAATTCATCTGCATGACTTCTGGCCTTGGTGTGTTTTCCCTAGCATTGGCATTGAACGTGCATTCTGAACTTCCACCATGGAGAGTGTCAGGCTCAACATCATGTTCTGATCTGAGACAAACACAGTGGACTTCCAGGGAACCCAGTAAGGTGCGAACTGACTATCTCTTCTAGACCTTTTGGGCTTTATTTCCTACGAGTTCATGGTAGCAGTTTCCAGTTTTTGAAAACTGTTTTACCTCAACACTGAGAATAATTTCAATTAGAAAGAGACAGTAAGAAAGAGAATATTGACAACAAAGCTAGAATAGAGGTTTTTTTCCAGTCATTCACTTGACATGTTAATTCTTCATCTGTAGATGATTTCATCAGTACAAATTACTTCCTCACTTGATCCAGAACCCACAGTTTCTCCAGCTTCAGGAAGTGAAGAATCCATTGGAGGCACCCAGGGGCCCCTGAGACACAGGATCTTGCCAACTGGACTGGAACTTTCAGATTTTATTTTCAGTAAGAAATTATAGTTTATAATAGCACGTTGCAATATTTTTGCTGGAAAATTTCTGAGGATTTCTGAAGCACACTGAGTTACACTATACCCTGGGTGCTGAAATAAGACTGAGATATGTCTGGGCAACTACAGAATTAGGTTTGTGTTCATCACACGTCTCTCACAGGGGTGTGTATTACATTTTTAAGCACAATTTTAAACAGCATTTTCCAAATCAGTTGAATTAGCCTTGAATTCCATGCCTCTCTTTCCCCCCAGTTATAGTCTCTTGAATATAATTATCAAGGCCAGGCTGGACAGGGCTTGGAGCAACTTGGTCTTGTAGGTGGTGTTTCTGCCCATGGCAGGGAGCTGGAATTAAATGGGCTTTAAGGTCCCTTCCAACCCAAACCATTCCATGATTCTATTGAAGACACTTCAGTAGAGCGATTTAATTTTATAAAGAAAAATGAGCTTCTAGTTTTGGGAGTAAAAAGGCTGTAAGCTAAGCTTCTAATTCGTATTACTGTTTTCATTTATTGATCTGCTTTAAATTTTCTTCCATATTCAGCTGTCCTCTGACCCACTTCCAGTTGTCATCTATCAATGACTGCCATTTACTGATAATGAATTTAGTTCAAAAGGATGCTTGTGGACTAGATAGAAGCCTCTTTATCTGCACTGGTTAACATTAATGTACACAGTTTTGCGGGTATCTGTTTGGAAAAAGGAGCAAATGTTAAGCTGGCTGTTTTCCAGTCAGCAGCTGCCACTTACCTACCAAGATTATTAGATTAATGACCTCCAAACCACAATCATGTTTAAATAATTTCTATCAAATAATTTCTTTTATACAAGTAGAGTGCCAACAGAAATGTGTTCTGAATGTTGGGGTTTAAGTATTAAAAGAATTGCAGTGGAAATCACTCGCATTGTATGGAAATGTAGTGTGGTACTGCACAGAAAGAACTTGGAATTCTTTCCTTATCTTATTTCTGCACATCTGAAGTTACTGTCCCCTCCGTAAGTGCTACAAGTTGCTTGTAAGATGTATTTGCCCTACAGGACAGGAGAAATCCAACTATCCAGAGGAATGCAACCTCTCAAGAGTCAAACCCCCAGTTAAAACACGAACTCCATTTGTCACGCTTCCTGCCACCGAGAAGATTCCTAACACAGTTTATTCAACTGACAGCGAGGAGATCCAGCAACCTTTTGGCTCTTCAGTAGTCAATTTATGCAACAAGTCAGAGGTATTTCCCATCAGTGCTTTTGGCCCTGAGGACAGAAATTATGAAACCTCTGTGTTTGGAGAGTATACGGAAGAGAGACAAAGGGAGTCTGTGCAAGCAGCGTTCCCTAACGTCACTTCACAATATAGAAAAAGCAAGTGGCTAAAATATCAAAACAATGCTCAGTGTGACTTGATAACTCCGAACAGCAATGGTAGGGAAGTGACTGATGACATCTGTGCTGACAACCTCCTTGGAATGGTGCTGGGTGACACAGGAGAGTGCAGCACTGTGAATAAAAGCGCTCCCGGCTCTGCAGCTCTACTGACAGCAAAGAGCACCCTTCGTAAATGCTCTCCAAATACCAGCCACCAAGATTTGATTTCAGAGAGGAAGTTACTTTCTCCGCACTTCAGTCAGACACCTTTGGCTGAAGCAACACAAAAGGTGTTAAGTCATCTGAGCTGCCACACTGCAACAGGAGCCAGCCAGGTGTGTAACTGTTCAAGCAGATAGATAGAGTTAGAAGTGACAGAAACACATTTTTCTGGACAAAGTAACTGCATTGATCTGATTTTCTGCAAGATATTATCAGTATGATCAGATGAAATGTTTTTACATATGTAATAACATAAGAGCCTCAGCTGCAAAACAGCAGCTTCTAATGTACTTTTTTAAGTGCCATGACTAATCCTTTGTAAAGGTAATTCTTTAGTGCACACGCCACCAGGTTTAGATTCTTCATCTGAATGTTGATGGCAGCAAGATGAAATAAAAGATGTTTGGCTATTTTGTCATCTGTAATTAGTAAGAACATGTTTTCAAGAAATGTTTCTTCTTAATTGCAAAGTCAGCATCGTTTTAATGAGCATCCATATCTTGCTTCAAAGCATAGTCTCTGATTTTTAAAATATTTTCAATTTCTTCAGCTTTAACTGTGGAGAAAAAAGTTATGGCATCGAATAAGCACCTAAAAATTATTACTACAGCTGTTTGTGGCCTGTAAACTGCCTTAAACAAACGGAGTAAATTGGAAAAAAACCCGAAAACCAAACCACAAAAACAAACCAACCACAAAACAAGATTCAGAAGTTGCCAGATCACTGTGTTTGAGAGTTAATGGAAAAGTTAGATTTTTTCCCCCTTTTTTTTGCACAAACTCAGTATGCTGTGTTTTCTAGTTCTTTAAAATCAGAAATGTGAAGTAGAGGTGTGGAAATTACTACAATATTTCATACACACACTGGTATACACACTGTGTGGTCGTTTTTTTTTATATATATATATATAAAAAAAATCCATATATACTGGGTTTTAAAAGGTTTGACAGTCTTCATAGTCAAACTTCCGGGGGTTTTCTGAATGTTTTCTGTTTAGTTGTACTTATTACTGAGAGTGCAATATATAAAAGCAAAAAAGGAAAAATGAGAAGAAAAATGGATAGGTGTTGGCATATCTGCAAAGTAGCCATTTATCAATGTTTGTCTCGTTCAGGGTTTTGCAAGTTGTAATGGTTTCTTTTTCTGGTTTTTAGGACATAACAATTTGTGAGTTGTCTTTTCCTCATGTGGATAAAGTAAAATATGCAAACCTTCCTAAAAGGAAGACTTTCATACCAGCCATGTTTCAGTCACATGTTCAGTACAAACAGATTTTTAAAGCTGCTCTGACAGGTAGGTCTAACACCATGCTATGGAAAATGCTGCTGGTTTTAAACAGTGTGTTTCTGCTGCTTCACAAAGCAGGATGAGAGGGAGAGAGATCATCAGTATCACCTACTGGAACAACTCTGCACATTTGGGTTTGGATATATACTGAAATGTATTTGGGTTCTTTCAGGATGAGATCAAGTATTCTGATTTAGATTTGGAAGTGTCAAATGAAAACATATTTGTTTGAATGCTGTGTACTCATGTAACCATTCTAAGGCTGTACTAATATTTTCTTCTCCGTTCTATGTCAAGAGCAATTGAACATAATGCTATTTGAGTTGTCCCAAAGATTCCACAATGCCCTTTCAAAAGTGGATATATCATTCTACACTTCATTGAAAGATGAGCAAACTGAGAGCAAGGAAAGCTGTGTTCCACTGTGCCATCACATGCATCCTGCTAAGCTTGTTATGACTAAAAAAGAAGGTCAAAACAAGGTGCTGCTCATTTCTTGTTTACAGTTTGGGGTGTTTTTTTGGTGAATAGACCTTACTGTGTGAACAATTACAGGGCAATTGTGTATGATTTACAACTGCAGGTTAAAGTGGCGTGTTACAGTGAACACTTTTAAGATCAGCTGTACTATCCACTGGTGTCCAGAATTGTTGATATAATAGTTTTCTCCATACAGAAACAGTTTTACCTATGTAGAAAGACCTGAATTTTTAATTTTCCTGGTTACATGGGATTTCAGTAAGCTGTGATTACACACCCTGGCTTCAGAAGCGAAGAGTACTGGGAACACACTTGTGGTTTTCAGCCAAAGACAGCAAAACCACAGCTCTTTATCTGATTATTTCTATAGCAGCAAGTACTGGTCTATTGCTTTACTTTTTTTCCCCTTGTTTTGATGTGCTAATAGTCTTTTTTTTTTTTCCTTTCCTCTCCGTTCCCAGGGTCGTTTATTCTATACGTGTGATGCCCCCAAAGCTGAGCAGTGTTCATTTTTCAAGTGGATAGAAGACGTGAACCCCGCACAGACAAAATCCAGACCTAGTGTAGCACTTCATGATATAAAAAGTATTGGGACATACCTCAGAAGTCAAAAGATTTCTCTCTATGAGGAATGCCAGCTTTTGGTGAGGTATTCTGACACGCTATGCACTCTTCAGCATGTAGATGAGGCCCTCAGTGACATGGTTTAGTGGTGGCCTTGGCAGCGCTGGGGAAACGGTTGGACTTGATGATCTTAAAGGTCTTTTCCAATCCAGTTGATTCTATGATTCACATATGCTTATGTGAATTGCAGGATTTATAAACATTCCAGTATATTCACTAGCATTTAACAGACACTTTTACTAACTATGGTAAAAGAAGCTTATAGTTCTCTGTAGAAATGTCATAGCCAAATTAGTGAAGGAACTCAGCATTCAGGTCAGCACTCTTTTCAGCAAGAATCAAAGCTTCTTCCCAGCAATTGATCAATTGTTTAATGAAATCCCCTGTGATTGCTGCATTTGAATTACTGTTTTTTTAAGCTTTCATAAGAGAATTTGGTTTATTCTCTTAGTGATTCTAATTTTAATGTTAGAAGTTATATTGAAGGCTATCCTGTGCTGCTTAACTACAGGGAAAACAATTTAATTCTGGCTGTATACGACAGAAGTATTTTGCAGTCAAGAAAAATGTATTTGAAACTTGGTAATGTAAGATGATGGACACCTACCAAGGTCTGTGCTGTATAATTTGCTCCAATCTGTGGAGCTTGCTTAATTTTCGTGGTGAATCCAAAATATGCTGATTGTTTACATACTCTAAAATTACAATTTAACAGGAAAGGCTTTGAAATTCAAACACAGCCGTGTAGTAAGTTCAAGAAATTGATGAATACGTCTGCCAGATTTGATGGTGATTGCAAAACCAAATTATACCTCAAACTAAGCAGAAAGGAGCATTATTCTCTCTATAGCAAAGGTGAGCAAATCTTAAGCATCAGAATTGTCCCTGTCATGTTGTGCTTTTTAAAGTTTTAATTTGTCACCTAAAGAGAAAAAACAAATCCTATTTTTAAACTCCTGACAAACATGATAATTCAATTCTCATTCTAGAAGGGCAATGAACTATCTCATTAATTCATCTTTTCTTGTTCAACTACCTCAGAAAAATATAAATTCCATGTCCTTGGCTTTGAAGGTATTAAATCTAAATCATTAAGTTTCAGGAAAGACCAATATTCAAAGAGATTATATTTAAGGAAAATCTTGATGTAAAAACTGGTGTTTCAGCAGTTGCTGCGTATTTCTTCTCAATTATTAAAATCTCACAAAGTTGGAGGACATTCAGTGATTTGTTCCAAATACTCCCTGAAATGTGAATACTTCAAACCTGTCAGAAGTCAAATGCTGCTGAGTGCACCAGGAGAGAACTTCACAGTCACCATCAATTTCAGACAGTAACTACTAGAGGAACTGCAACTTATTTATTCACTCTTTCTGAACCGAACCAACACTTAGTTAGGACTTTCTAATACCCCCTACTTTGACGTTAGCAGGGGTTTAATTTGCAGTGTAGTGAATGCTGAGCTGTTTTGTCTAGCTACATTTTCTTTATAAGACAGCATTAGAAGTTCATGAGAGCTCTGTTTGAGTTTTTCTTGACAGATGATATTTGGGTTGTTTCGAAGACTCTCAACTTTGATCCCCTTGATACTTTCATTGCAACTAGTGCTTTCTTTGGACCATCCTCCACCAATGAAATAGAATTGCTACCACTGAAAGGCTACTGTCCGTCAAACTGGAGATCAAATAGTGAGTTCTACACCAAATAATTCAGAATTGGGGCAAACAACTACTGAGGGAAAAATCTGGCCAGTGGTGAAGGATGAGATTGGAATTTCTCAAATCTAATACAGTAATTTATTCACAGGATTTTCTTTTCTTGTATATTTAAGTATGTAATTTGAACACAGTACTTAGTGGAATTAAACCTGTGACGTGGCTGGTAAGAAATTCTAAATGGGGGATGAAGAAATGGAGATAATATAAACAATGCAGTAAATAATATAATATAGAATGAAAATTGACTGTCAGGAGTGCAGGTAACAGGAGCATGTTATCACTGTCCTTGAAGAACAAACCAACAGAAACCCCAAACAACTCACTATGGAGAATTTCTATAAAAGGCCATGTATTAATCTGTGATTTGGCTGTTCCATCCTTTCTTTCTGTGCCTTTGTTGCTACAGTGTAGAATGGCTAAAAAATGGGGGTTTCAAAATTCAGGAAAACCAAATCTGTCTTGTTTTAGTTATTTTCACCATCATGTTTTAAAGCAACTTGGTTTGTATTACAGGAAGCTAATTCCTCTTTTGGCATTTTGTAATTCACTTATCTAGCTGATATACAAAATTTTGGCTAATTTCACTTTTTCCTAATCTTACCTCTCTGTGGCCTTTTCAGTGTTTGTACATGCCCTGCTGGTTTGTAACGCTAGTGGTGAGCTTGCATCTTTAAGAAATATGGAGGAGCACTTCAATCCATCTACGTTACCATTAATACCACATCTACTAAAAATGTAAGTTGGTCTTTCAGTAATACTGTAAGCATACATTGTGCCAATTGGTACAGAGAAGACACCAACAAAACCACCATTGAGTTTGCCCTATTAAAAAGTGGAGGAGGAAAACTGAAAACAGAAAAGCAGTGCAATCAACTGTTGACAATGCAATTTTCATTTATATGGAAAAGAAAATGTATTGGTTGCTTAACTCAAAATTGTAATTTTGTAGGGATTTTTTGTCTTAAAACTTACCTGCAGCCCATGTTTTACAATCTAGACATTAATATTAGGCATTATTATAACATTAGTCACTGACTGATCTGTATCAGGGTAATGAATACGCTTCATAGGGGTTCAGTGGAACTGGTTTTCCTCCCCATTGTTTAGCATCCCTTTACACAAATACAAAATATCTTCTCGGACAATCAGACCGATATAGGGGTATTTCCAATGCTGCTTGTGACTCACTGTATAAAAGAAGGAACTAAATGAGTCCCTGCTACCACCAACTATGTTCTTCTACTGCTCTTAATTCTGTCAGTCTTGTGTCTTTGAAGTCAGTCAGATGGAAAGTGTTAACATAGAGCAAGAATGGTAAAAACCAGAAACCTGTTTCATGTGATCCAGCTGTTGCCCAGGGAAGTAATAAGGGGCAGCGTTAGTTAATTACAAAGCCTGAGCATTTCAATGTCAGGTGAGTAAGAATATCAGAACCACGACTATCAGAACATAAGAATATCAGAACAAATTATATATATGCAGTATTATAGCACAACTTTTGACCACCGTATTTTCCTTAGGAATTTTGATTCTGAAAATGCTACTAATAGAGTCAAGAAAAGCAAATTTACTCCACCTGCCCTCAGCCTGAAATGCACAACAACGCACGGACCGATCAGCAGTGAAGTGGCAATGGGATTAGCTAAGAAGATTATCCAAACATTCTCGTTGAACCCAGATCAAGCTACATCGCTGCTTCACATAGCTCAGATGATGACCTCCTGTGAAAACACCAAACCATTGGAAGAACGTCGGATCCTCCCGATCACAATCATACGTGGTACACTGCAAATAATTGTGATGAAACAGTAGTCTTGTTTCCTTAATCATATATGTACAATTCCAGGCAGACTTAAAAAGGGATTCTTATGTCTACGTAAATGTTCACTTACTTTAAATGTAGCGCAAAAATGAGCTTGATTGAGCTGCCCCTGTGTATGGAATATCCTTTTAAACTCTATTGTAACGCTGCTTTCCTCACCTACTTCATGCATTTCCTGAAAATTCTTTTCCTGGATGAGGTCGCTCTGATAATGATGTTGACATTATAACAACCGTTCCACCAGCACGGAGCTTCTGATCCCTGAATTTTCATTCTGACTTTTGCAGGATTTCACATAAGCAGATTTCTGTCCTAGCAAGATCTATTAAAAAAAAAAAATAAATAGGGGAGTTATTTAGTGTCTTCTGCTTATTTCTTTTCATATTAACCCACTTTTTTGTCATGTATGGCCTTTGCTAAATTGTAATATCTTTTTTTTTTTTTATTATACAATGTTACTTGTTGATGTATACTTCCTTAAATCTTTGTTTTATTCCTTTTCAACACATACAAAAAGGCAAGGATAGGAACATCTTAGTTCAAAGATTATTTGTTTAAAATCAGTATTGAAAAGCAGTTACCATAAATGTAAGTTTTCAGATCCTCTCAAAGGCATTGGCAATAATGACACTCTTAGTGCAGGTACCACTGCACTTAAATTGTCTGAGCTTTTGTTAGGCTGTCAGGCACATTAATCTAGTTAAAATTATTAATCCCTCAAACTCCTTATTTTGCAGCTGGTATAAGGGATGTGCATGCAGATACTTGTATTATTGCAGTGTAATGATGAGACTCCTTAGCAAGTATTGCATGTACTCAACCAGAAAATTTAGGAAAAATACAATAGCTTCCTCTCTTCTGTAGTTTTTTACAAACTTATGCATGCAGTAAATGGGAAGTGTAAGGTGACTTGTTGCCCCTGGATATTTAGAGCTGCTGAAGCAAGCATGTGCAATGTTTTTCCAGAAATCTCAGCATGAGATAAACGGAAGTTGTAACAGCTGATTAAAACTGTACTTTCTTGAAGAGTTTCACTTGTAACTTTGGCTTTTTCTCCCAAAATAACAGGTGTTTTTGGAGCTGGGAAGAGCTACATGCTGTCTGTTGTGATCTTGTTCCTAGTACAGCTCTTTGAAAGCAGTGAAACTACAGAGGGTTCAAGGCCAGCTCCATGGAAAGTTCTGATTGCTTCTTCCACCAACACTGCCGTTGACAGGATACTCCTGTGGTAGGTTACTGAGATTGTTCCAAAAACAGCAATGCACTTATATAGTAAAGATAATCGTGTTGATAATTGTGGTATAATTCCAGTATAACACCTCAGAAAGATGGCATTCTTTCCCCAGAAAGTGTCACACATGGGCTTCGAGTCTACCCTTGCTCCTTTGCACAGCATGCACAGTGCCTTACAGACTGTAAGGCTAGCTGCACTGAGCAGCTGAGTCTCTGTCTCAGCAGATTACTAGTAAAATCCATCATGACAGAAAGGCATAGCGCTCAGGAATCTTCAGGAAGTAGCAGCAGAGGAAGGAGAGATGGAGAGAGAGGGAGAGGCAGAGAGAGTCAGACTTGGGAAGCACCAGCATGAAGCTAACGTGAAATAAAACTCATGGTTTGGAAGGGTAAAAGGAAGGAAGGGCAAGTACAAATGGAAGACCATTTATGAGAGGAGAATCGTCAAGTCTTTAAGCATTTCTGATACAAATCATGATGAGGTAATTTACTTCGATTTATTTGAATTGTGGCCTGAGTTACTTCATCTCGGTAATCACAGAGCTTTATGTTCTAAGATGTCTGTTAGCCTTTTTAGAGCCACTTCTGCATTTTTCAAAATGTCTTTTTACATTTCTGTAACCTGTATCATCTCTTTTTCTTCAAAGTCTACTCGAGCTTGGATTTGAGGATTTTATCAGAGTGGGAAGCATTAGGAAAATCACCAAAGCAATTCTTCCCCACAGGTAAGAATCTTCATCTTTGAGGGATCTTAAGTGATTCTAAGATTCATGATAACATGCATGCTGTAAAATTACAATTTTGAAATAGAAAGAAACAATGAAAGTGCCATTCAAAATGTGGTTGTAATATGCCTGTCTCAGGGTTCAGGTCTCACAAAGTGGAGAAATTTTACCTCGATTTGGGAATGCCGCTTGTTGCTGAACAGAGCTGATGCTTTTGAAGGGGAAGTAGTAGAGGAGAACAAAATAATGGTGGTTACAGATTTGGGAGTTTATACAAGGAGAAAAAGCAAAACAGATAGACTTGAAATAGGTATCTACTGCCGCAGTGCTAAGAACTAGGAAGAAGTCACCATAAATGTAATGTCCAGAGAATTACTGGTAACAACTCATGAATTCCATACTATTTATCCATATTATCTTTGCTATAGTGTTCTGGTGTTTGTCATTTAACACTTAAGACCAAGCAACCTACATAGCACTTTCAACACAATTTGAGAGAACAAAGTATATTCAAGATGAATAAAGATTAAATTTCTCTTCCTTGGTGTCAGTAGCATAGCAAGGGTATAAAATGAATAAAAAACTTCTCCTTGGTCTTACTCCACTCTGAAGTCAGCTGTGCACTTGGAAGAGTCATTTGCTACGTGTCTGTCTCTGGTTGGCTTGGGAGGGTCTGAGCTGGTGAGATAAAGGGCTGTTTTAAAACAGGTATTATAGTAGTCTATATCTCAGCTGAGTTTGGGATAGGTTAGTGCATTGAGCTGTTACGTATAAAGTATGATTATTTCCCTGTATTAAGGGAACCCAACACTGAAAGCACTGTTATTTTCAATCTTTTTGAAGTTTACATGCTGGCTCAGTCAACGAAAATGATCAGCTAAAAGAGCTGCTTGCTCTCATGAAAGAAGATTTATCTCCAGCTGAAAAAATGTATGTAAGGAAGAGTATTGAGCAACACAAACTGGGGACCAATAAAACCATACTGCAACAGGTACAGTCAAAGTGAAGGGATGGGAAAGGGAGGATTCAGTGTCTTATCCACGAAGTCCAGCAAACGGGAACTGGGAATCACCTCTCACACCTGCCAAGCTCCTAGTTTTGAAAGATAAAATGAATGTTAGGACTAAGACAGGTTGGATTCCACAGGTAGTAGCATCTTGCCTGTGTATAACTTCTCCAAGTCAAACTTGCAGTTCCTGTTTAGTGACAGGACACAGAAACCCCTTTTGATCTTGACTGCAACCTGATTTAGTATTGCCAATCTAGTTTACAAGGTGGGGAGAGAAAAATCTCTGAGCACGGCTAGTCTGCGCTGCCATCTTGAAACTAAAATGTATGTAGTCATAAAGGTGAAAGATAAGGACTGAGTTAAATCTATCCTAATGTATCAACTGCCAAGGAGATTTCTAATATATTTGAAGTAACTCTTCATGAAAGTATTACCTCTTAAGATTACTGCTACTTCTTGTAGAAACATCTTCTCAATTTCTGAACACCTTAAGCACAAGAAATGGCCCTTGGATCCATCTCCATGTATACACAGTGCCTTTTACTGGAAGTTAGAACATAATTTTTTGAGACCCACAAGAAAAACACAGCATATAACAAAACTGCTAAAAATTAGTTTAGGTATATTCTAGTGCTGAAGCTATAGTTAAGTGCTGCTCAGAGCTTAACTATTAAATGATCTTAACTTCTGGTCTACCTGTTTTTCCTTCACTACTAACCAAGGTGAAAGTGGTGGGAGTAACCTGTGCTGCCTGCCCATTCCCTTGCCTGAATTCTCTTCAGTTTCCTGTTGTGATTCTGGACGAGTGCAGCCAGATGACTGAACCTGCTTCTCTTCTTCCTATTGCAAGGTACAGCCTTCCTTTTGTGTTTCAGCAGAGAAATAACTTCAAGTTAGCAGTGACACAACCTCAAATAATTGCCAGACTTGCACATCTTTTGAAGAACATGAACTCCGAGGTCTCACCTTGGAAAGCAAGAGGAGTGATTTTAAATTGAGACCTGCTCTTCAGTGCCTTGAGTTATTTTCATACGGAAAGAGGGCAGTGAAGAAGGGAGCCTGATGGAAAGCAACCTGTGATATATAAACACAGCACATGCTTTCATCATGAATAGTTTGGCATCCTTTTTTAGAACTTTTTTTCCTCATTTTTTAACATTCTTATTTAGGTTTCAGTGTGAAAAGCTGGTCCTTGTTGGAGACCCTAAGCAGTTACCACCAACTATTCAAGGGTCAGAGAGTGTTCACGAGAAGGGACTGGAGCAGACTCTCTTTGACCGGCTTTGTCTAATGGTATGTACCAATAACCAGAGACAGAGAGTGAACTGCAGGTCCACTGGAGCCACTGAAAGAGTTCAGTTGTGAGCGGGTCAGTGTTTCAGCCTGGTTTTTAATGAAGCAGCTTACACTCTAGCGTATTGCTCCGTAAAGGTTATTTTCACAGTGCTTATAAATTTCTAAGCATAACGGATGTAAAACAAGAAGGACTGAAAAACAATGACAGATTCTCCCTCCTTTTTGTGCAATTTTCCATCCAGGTAGAAGAATTGGGGGCCACGGTATTTGTTCTGACTTTAGTTGAAGTGAGTGTACAGAGGTTAAGCCAGCTTACTGCAGGAATTGCTTCCTCTTACATCTTATTTGCCCGAGCTGGCATTGCAAAACATTTAGTAATTCTTTTTCCTTGTCACACTTCCTGTATCATAATTCTTTAGGGACATAAAGCAATAGTTCTTCGGACACAGTACCGATGCCACCCTGCCATCAGTGCCATAGCCAACAACCTGTTCTATGATGGAAATCTGATAGATGGCATTTCTGAGGAAGACAGGAGTCCTTTACTGGATTGGCTTCCAACACTGTGCTTTTATAATGTTAATGGGGTAGAGCAAGTAAGTTTTTAAACATTTCTTATATAAAACCTCAATATTGTAGGTTTTCCTCAATTTTATTTCTCCTTTTTTTTTTTTTTTTTTGCATTCTGCTGTCTGTGAGAACTAAATTGGAAATCTTCTTCCCCATTTTCAGACTGAAAGAGACAACAGCTTTTATAACATGCCAGAAGCTCATTTCACGGTCAAGCTCACCCAGGCTCTGATTGCCAGCGGAATAGAAGGATCTGCAATCGGTGTAATTACTCTTTATAAGTCACAGATGTGTAAGGTTTGTGGAACGTATCATCAATAAAACAGTTTTCTTTAATATGTTTGTTTAGAATAAACTTAGGCTCTAGTTTAACTACAAAGAGTCAGATAGAAGTGACAAAGAATGCTGGACAGGTAAATGAATCAGGGGCTGTTACAAACTGGTACATGTCATAAGGATGGGTAACAGTCGTCTGCTTAGTAAAATTGGAGTTGTTCCTCACCCAGTCAGCTGTAGCATGACAAGGGCTGCTGTGATTACTAAGTAACTCATTAGTAACTCATTCATCACCCTCCATATTCATTTGTCTACAGATTCAGAACTTGCTCTGTGGAGTACAGACTGAGGTTTCCAAAATTAAAGCTGTCCAGGTGTCCACTGTAGATGCATTCCAAGGAGCTGAGAAGGAGATCATTGTTTTGTCCTGTGTAAGAACGAGGCAAATTGGGTTCATAGACTCGGAAAAGCGAATGAATGTTGCGCTGACAAGAGCAAGGAGACATCTGTTGATCATTGGGAATCTGCCCTGCTTAAGTAGGAACAGACTGTGGGGAAGAGTAATTCATCACTGCAAAGGTAATAACTTCTTTTCCTCTATTTTTGAAACCATGCAGCTCATCTTCTGTAATTATATGTAAGAGACTTTATAGTGTCCATACATACTATATAATATAGAAAGTATAAAGTATGCGTACTATATAAACCAGTATATTTACTACATATAAAATATATGTCAGGAAAATGCAACTATTTGCAAGCTGCATGTTTGCAGTTTTACCTGCAAACTGCTTTTAGACTTGAAGGGCATTTGGTATCTGGTAGTGGGACTTCTTTTTCTTCCTTTGATGCCATCAGACAGTGACACAAAGAGCACACTAGTAAGGGAGAGCTGAAATCCTCTAGCCCTTTCCCTGTTTGTTTTACATAGTAGACCCAGGCAGAAACAAGTTATAAACAAATTCTACATATCACTATTTCTGCGTAGACAGTATTGAATAAAGGAAAGAAAAATGTGCAGCATCTTTCTGTAAGTAGAGACTCATTGTTTTTGGAAGATAAATTTTGAGTTGGTAATAAAAAACCTCAATGCTACTGGGACATGAGCTAATTCTACCAAGTAATTCCCAATTGCTTTGCTTACAGGCCACTGTCTACTGAATACGTGTGGCTGTTTTATCAGACCACAGAGGCAAAAAACAGGTTTTGAAAATCAGGTTTTTCTGACAGTTGCCACAGAATTTGCTGTGAACTTTAACTGTAATTGAGTATTTATGCATTTGAAAGCTAATACTGCTGTAAAAAAAAAAAAAGAACCAAATGTGCCTGTCACCATCTAAATTCTTCTGTGGTGACTTCCTTTGAACTAGAAAAGCAAGAGATGGAACACTCTCCAAATTTCTACAGTACATTCAATAAACTCTGGCTGAAGTCAGAGCACATCCCCTGTTGAAGGGCCTTACTACAGCCCCATGACACTCCAAAGGAATTGCTCAGTTTCTAAAGCAACTGATAACAAATCCCTTCAAAAATAAGTACCAAGATAATAATTTACCTGCTGGTTGGTATCAAATGAAGCATCTCTTTAATGGCTGAACTCTGAACAGTTTTCAAAGTAGAAATGTTACAGCCATGTGCTAAGTGTGGGGAAGTAGATGTTTGCATCACCACAGGCTGATTTAGATGATGGATGCTGCAAAATGAGATGTAATTATCCTGTTTATTACTGCTTTTAGGATGGGAAAATGGATTGCAGCATGTAAGCCTGTGTGAGCAGCAGCTAAACGACATTCTTAAGTCTTACTGGGAGAAACAGAAGGAAGAGGAGCAGAGTAAGAAGGAAAAATAAAAGGTGCATCTGTTTGATGAAGAAAAGATGAACTGCATGTCTATAAAAACAATCAGAATGATTGCACACCATTTATATTTAATGGGGGAGATTTTTGTTTGGATCTCAGTGGTCTGATACTTCTGGTTTGACCCCCTTTCTATGTCAAAAAATGAATAAAGTGACTCATCTGCTTGATAACTGAAATCCCTGTATGCTTACAAAGTACTTAAATGTGTTGGCAGTGTTTCGTTACTCTTCAGGGTAGGTATATACATGTGACATTGTACCTTAGAACAATTCTGCCACCTTGCACATTTAAATTGGTGAAGACCGCATTCAGAGCCTCCACCCGAAGGTGGCCGGGTCCGGACGGTTCCTCCTGCCGCCGCGAGGTGGCGCTGCCCGCCCGGTGGGGCCAGTGAATGGACCCGGGAACCGGGATAGACCCGGGAGAGCCCCGGGACCCCGTTAGGGACCCCAGGACAGACCCCGTCCTTCATCACTAGCACCGCTCCTGGCTCCAGGGAACGCCAAGCTCTCGGGCATGGAGAAGGGCAAAAGAAGGAGCAGCGGCAGGTTGAATAGCGCCTTTAAATTCTGGCTGACACCTCTGTCCCAGCTCCCTAAAATCTCAATCAACAAGCCATTAGAACTCGACGGGAGTAAAACTAAATCCTCGTTTAAGTGTATTTATCCGCTCCCTTTTCTCTCTTTCAAATGCTAAATCCATTTCAGCATATGCCCCTTCTTTCTCTCGCCTTTCTCTAAAGACCAGCAGCCCGGACCACTCTTGTAAATATGAAAGATGCTAATCATATGACATATCACGTCTCAGTCGGAGCCTGGAATAAAGCCTTAAGATTTGGGATCATTGCCTCCAGACAACAGCTTCATCAGCCGGAAAGTTGGTTTTTTTCTCCCTTCCTTCAACTCTCAATCCCCTCTTTGTCTGGGGGAAAATGCAGCCAACTCAAGCCACCCCAGCCATATGGTTCACTCTGTGTTTTCTTAGTTGAAGCCTGAATTGTTTGTGACTTGCGAAGGGGTTCTTTTTTTTCCCCCCTCTTTTTTTTTGGGGGGGTGGTGGGGGAGAAGTGTGTATAAAGACATAGAAGAGGCTGCCCTGTACTGAGGCAGCTTTGCCAGGCTACGACATGTTCCTCACATGTCAGTTTCACACACTCCTGCAGCCACTTCACAGCTCTGCCCCAGAGCCACAAGATTGACCCCCCAGCCACAGTAACACCCCCAGTCCCAGGGATCTTACTCTCCCTTTGGTTATTTTTCCCTTTGGTGGATGGCAACACCTTCTTAAAATGTGATTTGTTTCATTCAGACTCATCTGTGGCCTGGGTTTGAGTTTGTCTGTGAAACAAGAGTATCTACCCCCCAGCAAATCCTTCCTAGAAATGCCCTGACTTAGAGAATCCCTCAAGTATTTTGAGTAAGGAAGAGCAGCTTTTACAGTCCATATAAAGGAGGAGCTGATTGAGTTTGGTGCACTCCAGATTGGATAGACCCCTGTTTGCTAGCAGCCTGCCAAATTTTCTTTCTCTCCTTCCTCACACAACCCATTCCCTCCTCCCCCCACCC